TCTGATATTAACATCCAAAAAGGGCATTAAAGTATAAAAAAGAGAAAGGAAATTTAACATTCAAATTTAACTGTAGCCTACAACAAAAACATTGGACTTCATTTTTCACCCTTACAATTGGTTAAAGTATTTAAGTATAAAAAAACAGTACCTATTAAAAACAAGTATTGTATAACAACAGGAGAGGAAATGTGACATTTAAATTCAACTGTGCAGCATAAACATCGGTTAAACTCAGCTTTCTTTGCTGGAAATAATTTATGATTGTTAATACCAAGTATTCTTGATGGAGGATATGATTGTAAAGTAACTGGAATGTAGGTCTTCTGCCATTATTAGGACGATTTAGCGACGGCATTTTAATACTGGCCTTAATAATACCATTGGCCATTGAATACAGTAGATTTTGATGAAAATGCTGGCTACAAATTCAACATGGGGATGGAATGTCTAGTTGTATTGATAGTCAAAGATAAAACATAGGCCTACGAAAAATGTAGGGCTATTTTAATGTAAGACTCAAATGTAAAACACCTTTAAAAGACTAAAATAAACTGAATTATCAGTCATGTATTTCAATGTGTAAAAACGTAAAAACTGCAAAAAGACTTACTTATTGAACAATAAAATAAGATGGCTGAAATGTAGGCATAAACATAAGTAAGAAGTAAACATCGCATTCAGCTGATTTAAGTGAAAACAGAATAATATAATAAGTAGAGAAGACATGCCTTAAATATACAATGTAGATAATACAATTCGAAATTAGTAGCCTACTTCTGGACAGGCCTAGACAATTATCCATACCGTGGTTGAAAATGTACTTCTATAAGCCCAGGTTTACTTATTACGGTTGTAACTGGACGTATGTATAGTCCGTGGCTTGGCAATCAAATAACAGTATTTATATAGGATAGGCTACTGTTATCAACATTTGAAATGACTGAATTGTTACCAAATTACTGTTTCACAAAATGCAGATTCCATTTTCAGCCGAGCCATGAAAATGAGGATTTGCCGAACAATTATTAATATTACAGAATAGTATATAATGATATACAACTTTTCACATTCCATAAATTATATGTTAGTTTTGCTATGGTCAAAGGTCCAAATCCAAATGTTCTCTTTTCTTTTGGTCAGTATGTAATAATTTGCTAGAATCATTGACTTTATATAAAGTCAAAGCTAGAATACTGTAGATGGTTTGTTAAGTTAAGACCATATGCAAGCATTTTTGAAATCGTTTCCCCGTTTATCCTTAACCAACTATTTCATTCCAAAAGATAAAAATTATATGGTGCAACACAAATAAACAACCCGATCACCTACCTATAACCTACACTTTACCTTCTTAATCTAACCTTACTTCAAAACACTTAATGCTCACGAATGCTCATAAACCCCGACCTACCTTCCCCACATGCCTAAATTTGATCAGTGTTCAATCTGCGTTTTATCAATAAGTGTAATAACTTACTGTAACCGTCGATGTAATTCAACATAATATAACCTATGAGGTATTATCGGATTAAATACCGATTTCGATGCGGTTCGATATATCGCTTATTAAATCCTGATTTCTAACATCGGCTGTTTCTAATCAGCTGGCAACACAAATAGGTTCCCAAGAAAGTAGTCACCGGTCAGTATCCCTCCGCTCCTTGTTTATGCTCCGCGCATTGAGAAAGTAGTTCCGTATATTTTCTCGATTTTCAGTGAATTCCGCGCCTTAAAAAAGTGTTTTAATGGCATTTTCTTGTTTATTAAAATCATAGGAATGGTTTAAAAACGTTTAAAAGAAAAGTATAGAAAGTTCAGAAATACCTTATGATTCTCTTGTTTACATTTTTCTTGTAAACAAAAAAACTGTCATAGCTACTTTAGTCCCATAAGCCTAATGTTAAAAATTAGAAATTTTAAGTTCGTTTTAAATTGCATTAGCATTATCTAATTGAAATTTGTTTGTTTACAAACCATCTCATTATTAGTCTAAGTAGTCTTGTTAAGTTTGGCTAAAATGTGTTCAGCCGTTATTGAGTGATGGCGTTATATTGTTTGCATTGAAGTTGATCCCAAAGAGCTTCGCTCGCTTCGCTCGCTCCGCTCAATAATCATCATACTGTAAAATACAAAAATCAACACAATTATCTGTGCATTTTAGTTTATACCGACAGTTTGAAGTGAGCTTCCATACTCTCCCCACTATCAAATGCCACTTGTATATTTGAGGTTAGATTTTTTATCGCTGGAAGCTTTCTCCGATAGCTATGAGAAAGCTTCGTAGACATAGACCTGTACCGGAGAAAAGGATTCTATCTTTACAGTCTTGCTTTTACTTCCGGATAGTTGGTATTCCTGCTCTTATTTTGTGTTGGCACCATGGCTGTGTAATAGACCCGATTGGTACATTTCGTACTTGATGAAATTGTTTTCTATATTGTTGTTTTAGGATATTTTTTAATATGTGAGGGATTTTTCTCCGTTTCTTTTTCGCCTGTCCTACTTAACCGGTTTTACTGATTGAGGTGACATTTAAAGCTCATGATCAAACAAAAGGACAAATGGTAACTAAAAAGATAATTTAATTTATGGCTTCGCCCCCTAGAGCTTGATATATTTCCAGAGTTTGTTATGAAATATCCAAAGATCCTGACCTAATTCATTTTCAACGGTTTTATACAGTACCTATGTTAATTTAGGAACAGCTGAAAAGATCCTTCAGTTTAATTTTTAAGCACGGTCTGATAGGAAACTAGAGGCGACACAGTTTGTGATATTGGTTTCTTTAAGCGTGATAATTTGTAACCTGATTGAATTAAATCACTCTTAGTTGAATAAATCAACAATCGACTATTTTATTTCGTTGTTGTTATAAACATGTCAAATTTCTTGTAGTCTTGTAAGATGTTTTATTGGGTAGGGAAGTTTTATTGTGGGGAAGTATTTATGACCCTAAACTTGATTGTAATATTTTAATTTGGTTTGCTGACGATAGTTCTAAAATCTTGGATTATAAGTTCCAAATTATCGCACGAAGTGAGGTTTTTGTGGCGCCTTCGTACACGGTCAGGAATAAACTTCAACCCACAATTATGCGTGTTGCATTACGATGTTTGCAGGCACTTTTCCAGTTTACACGGAGAAACTGAAGAAACCTTAGTTCAACTGTAGTGGGCAGTTAAAGTTTTTGGTGGAAAATAGGGAATTTATCAAGTAAAGTTAGTTTATTTTATAAAATCAATATAGGGATGGTTATTGATTGTACGTTGTTAATTTTTGGCCGAAACAAAGAATAGTAAAGTTTACAAATTAAAATTAAACTTATTGGGCTCTGATAATTGTAAGAAGTTAGCTTTTTCAGGTGAAAGAAATAAAACAGAGAATTTTATGGCTAGTATACTACTGACAGAAATCACTCAACTTCATACTATCAATATATTTTGTTCGGTATAAAAGTGGATGAGAAATTTTTCTTGAAACAGTTTTGTAATTGTTCTGTATGTAAACTTTTGTATTTCCTCAGTTTCTCACACACACTTTGTAAAACTTCTTTTCAAATTATACATTTGAATTATTTTCAACACCCTTCATTCTTACCGGACATTGGACCAATAAACAAACATCAACACGTTATTCAGATTGGACGATGACCAGCAAAGCCAGTGATAATAAAGTTATTCGTCATACAGGCAGTGGCCACTAATATTTTCAGGCACCTGCCACTGCCACCGTAATTTAATCGCCGCAGTCAGGGTGGCCGTGGCAAGCTGGTTACCCTTTGATAGATCGCGGTCAAAAAGAAATCAACTTTTGTTTCTCCGTTGAATTCATAGGCATTCCTTGAGTCAACATTCCATCCCCGCCATATGACCCCTGCTGCGCCGATCTTTTGTCTTAGATAAAAAGAGGACCGGACTTTTGTTTTGTTTGTTTTCCACAGATGAACATGTCAGCGTTTTTACTGCTCCTTAATGACCCCTATCTCGCTGTATCTCTGGCGGCTGCCACAATCAAATAATTACCTCCGTTGGATCGTATATTTACAAGGATCTGTTTATTGCTTGCGTTTTAGTGGGTTGTTCTTTCAGGGAAGTTATGGCAGTCCTAGTATTGTTTTGAATTTATGTTTGTGTAACACTTGGTAGGATAACAAATCACACTAAGTTTTTCGTAAATAACTTCTTGATCAGCATTGTACGTGTTAAATATACTACGGAAAGGGGAAGTGAGGAAAATACGTCTAACACTACTTGAAACATACATTTACACACACTGTTTAACATGACTTCAAAGATAAAGAGGGTATAGTTGAGATCTCAATTGGACCCTCCAATCATCATCAGGGAATTCACATATCGGGTCTGATGTTTGGAGTGTCCAATCCAAATCGATCACCTCTTACCATCTTTTATATGTATTTACAGTCTTGTGAGTTAACATTGTAAGTGTAAATATAGGTTTCAAGACAAATTTTCTCTCACTTTCAGTAAGTTATTTGTGTAATCATATTCAGAAGTTTTTTCCTGATTTAATTTTGGGCAAATCATCTTGATGCTTGTAATCTAAACTGAATCATTATACGCATTTCACATAGAAAAAGTTATACGCAATAGTTAAAACCATAAAACCCAATTTCATCCGAGCGAAAATTTTACTTCCACTAAGGATTCTTTTGTATCAAAATGTCACTTTAGTTTATACACAGTTAAGAAGGTACAGAGGAAAAATTCAAAACACCTAAGTGGTGTCTAGCACCAGTGCTGGTGTCTAGGACAAAGTCCATCACCACTCCCTCACCCTAAAGTACTACAACGCTCACGGTGGATGAAAACCTTGTGCTCTGTGCGATAGGAATTTCAGCAGTGCTCACCACTCAGGCCCTTCCTTGCCACAAGTATATTTCCGGCACAACATACTAGAGCTTAAAGCGCAAGTTTTCTCTGTGGTTTATACTGTTTGCAAATTTCCTTCAAAGCTCCTAACGCAGTCGTTTGCAGGGTGTCAGATCAATGGACAAGTGGTAACATCCGAGCGCAACGTCACTTCCACTGAAGACCCTTGTATCAAGTGTCACTGCCAAGACGGGCACATGACCTGCACCAAGAAGGCCTGCCCTGTCCTCAACTGTCCAGACTCAGCTGTTGAATACAACAAGGGAGAATGCTGTCCCAAGTGCAAAGGTGAGTGTGGATTTTACTAATTTTTACTTCCAAAATTTGGCCTAAACAACAAAGTCTTCCAGTTCTCAGAATTTTCTTTAGTCTTAACTATCTTCATATTGGTCATATTTTCACCAACTTTGTTCTTCTAACTTTAGAATGTTCAGGAAGTTTTCTTCCAGGGGGAGTAAGTTCAATGTAATGTTCAAGTGCATATAATGAATGAATTGTATATTTTTTTTTATTTGATTTTATGTATGTAACACAATTCTTTCTCTCGCTGTCAAAAGGATGCTAATTCCCTTTGGACTAGTTGCTGTCTTTAAAAGACGATGGAATTTATTAAAGAAAGTCTTGATCTGATTTTGAGTTAAGTAAAATATATATAGTAGGCTAAAATTCAACTTTAAAAGGAAAATTTTTCAAGTTCTGCTCGCCTACTTTTGGAATTGGTCGTTTACCGGGTATTTTCTTGACCATTGAAACCTCAGCGGTGTTTAGCTACGTCGACAATGGTGTAATTTTTTCTGCTGATTAAAGTGAAGTGCCAAGTCTAATGGTCTTTTTAACTTCACTATAGTGCTTCCACTTCTTAGTCATTGAACCACCTAAAGACATAGGCTTGTCCCTACATGGTATAAAGGGAGTGCTAAAAAGTATCTACAGGGTTTTACTTTAAGACAGCATCTTTTTTGCTCCCTATCGTGGACTTTTCTTAATTCTCCTTTTGTTAAAAATGAGTTTATGTCAGTCAGTATTAACTTCTCTGTTTTTAAAAGTTATGAGCATTAATGAAAGTCTGTACATGTAACACACACCTTTCTACTTGTTTTTTAGCGAATTTCCCATATAGGGAATAAGCTATTACCGTAGTACTCATGGTAAGACCTGGACGCGGGACCGTTTTTTTTTTCGTTTTGAGGTCCCTAGAGGCCAAAAACACCATCCGTTCAAATTCATATATATATATATATATATTTATATATTTATATATATATGTGTCCGTCAGCACGATAACTCAAGCAAAAATGATCCGATTTTGATGAAATTTGGTACAAACGTGTAAACGTACGTTTATTCGAACGAGTTCGCGATCCAGCATGATCGGACCATGGGAACTGGGGTTTACGGGGGGTTTTATGGGGTAAAAATAGGTTTTTCCCATTTTTGACCCAAAAAACATAAAATTTTGCAATTTCTTTCCAAACCATTTTGTAGAGCTTAAAAAAACAAATAATTTGGTATATTGAAGCGTTATTATGCGCCTAATAGTTACGGAGAAAATTCCAAAAAATTGTAAATTTAAAATTCCCATGTTATTCTTATGGAGAAATAGTAAACTGTTGTAGTTTGCTTGTTTGTGAACATATTTTGATCAAATTTGGAAAATGTTTTTATTTCTTACTAACTATTCACATTTTACAAAAAAAAAAAAAAAAAAAACACAGTTTTATCCTCGCTTATTCAGCAAACCTAAGTACTTGTTAAACAAATTTTATTTAAATCAAGAATAAATGTTATATTTTTAAGTAGACATTTCAGTGTAAATCCAATCAGTCAAATGGAAATTCGCTTAGTATGCAGGTTTGCTGCGGCGGGGGTATTAATTTAAATTTATCCAAAATGTGATTTTTCTTTACAAACTTTTCCCTCTCTTTTTTATTGCAATCGTTTCAACTTTAATAGCTCTTCTGTCTGCTTCTCTTTTACAGTTAATTGCAATTTGCCACATTTTCTCTCATTTTTTGTTTAACCTTTTCTGTCAGTTTTTTCAATCTTTCCTTTTCTTCTTGTGTTGCTGCCACTTTGTAATTTTTTTATCATCCTATATTTTGCTTTCATTTCCTTTTCTTTCTTTTAAGTTTTATCAACCAATTTCATTGCTAAAACTACAGCTACATACTTGTTCTCAGGTTCCCGTCGACTGATCGAGCCGCCCAAAGGCAGTTGTCTACTGAAGCTCGGTCTGCACCAGTCCGGTAAGACGTTCCAACACGACGATTGTACAGTCTGTGCTTGTAACAACGGCACCCTCCACTGCCACCGGGCATCTTGCCCACCCCTAGACTGCCCGGAGGAGATGCAGGTCAGAGTGCCCGGCATCTGCTGCCCGTACTGCCCGAGGAAACCAACACTGCCTAAGGGAGAGTTGTACACTTCTTGCCGAGTGGGAGGTCGCACTTATGAGGTAGAAATCGTTAAATTAGATTATAATGTGATTATTTTTACGTTAGTAACACACCAGGTTGTGTATTTTAAGGTGAAAATAAAATCCGATGAGTGATGAATGAATGTGATAACAGATGACAGTTTTGTTACCGACTAAGATGATCAGCTGGTTCATTAGCCAGGATTATTTATTAAAAACCCAATACTGAGACAGCTGGGTCCAGTTTCACACAGAATCTACTCGTTGCTGTTAAGTGAAACTTAACCTTTGAGGAAATGCTAAGACATTATCCTTCTTATAATAATGGATATCGATTTTTCATCCACCATGCTGGAACAACTTCTTAACTGAGATTACTAACTATTTCAACACTTTTCTTATGGTTAACTTTGAGAGCAAAATCGACCCCTTCACTTTTGTTCAACCTCTCCTTGAATATTTGCACCCCCTCCCCCTAACGATATGACTAATACAACAAAATATTTTCTTCATAACTACAACTTCTATAGAACTAAAACTCCAAATCATATACTTCAATACAATTATTATTTCCTGTCGTCAATACAGAAGGATTCTCACCGCAAACTCTCTCTTGAACAGATGTTCGAGGTTGAAAATATGTATCATTTGGAGAAGAAATTCAACAAAACAGTTTATTAGAATTACAAATATCTGTGATGACTTGACGGGGCAAGGAGAACCGGTCGGTGGCCGTGAAACTGGTCGACAACCGCCAGGTCAATCAATCTACCGCAAATTAATGGTCTTTGAATTATATCTGTCATAAACTATACCCACTTGTCGAGAATTTACAAAAAGGGAAGTGTTTTTACACTTCTGATTGCTATCTTTTGATCGTTTGATGTTTATCATGAGTTGAACGGACATGAGATTGTTGTTATTGGCAATTTAGATTTTTTTCAGTTAAGCGCAGATTAGTGATCAGCTGTTGGATTGTTTGTTCAAGTTGTAGAACTTGTATATGCTTGGACATTGGCAAACTTATAAACATGTTTTGTTTGGTTTGGAATTTTAATTGAAGTAATTTTAAATTTTATATGAAAAATTATAATGCTCTTTTAGTGTCTGATACTTAGTTAGTTAACTCATTTTAAATCAATTTGGCATGATTTGAAAGTAGGTGAACCTAATTTCCAAGCCAATACTCATTCTTTAAATTGATCTGTTTTTTTTTTTTTTTTTAAATAGTAGTAGTATTATTTATACATTTTTTATGGAAGGGTCTTAGAGTTATAGTGGAGGATGGAAAATAGGAACCATAGTAGACAATAGACGAGTTGGTACCTCAAAACGCTCTAAATTATTCGATAAACTGTCTCGCATTGCTATTTGAGTCCATTCTGGTCTCACACGTCACTAATTCTGGAATTCCCGGATGTGTTTGCAGGATGGAGAGACCTGGAAGCTGGATCAGTGCAAGTCTTGTGCCTGTTCCGGGGGATTGATCCGTTGCGCGATGCCGGAATGCCCTCAAGTAGGCACGTGTCCTCCGAGGTTCAAATTACAACGAGAGCCTGGCCAGTGCTGTCCCAAGTGTGTGGAGGGTGAGTTAAAAGAATGTTAAGTTAGACCTCTATATTTTTAAAGAAAATCCTATTTTCTAGTTAAGAGTTATTTAATGAATACCCATGTAGCACAGATGGTTGGGCCAACGTTGGCCAACTGTCGGACAGTTGGTCGATGGTTGGTTGGAGCTTCCACAACCAACCAACCGTTGTCCAACTGTATATCTCGTAGTTGGGCCAACCAATATTTACAACTGTGGACCAACATCGGTTCATTGTTAATGAAATACATTAATATGCATTGTTGGGTATCATACATCAAGCCAACCGTTGTCCAACCGTTTTTCACTCCGTTGGACCAACAAAAGATACTTTTGTTGGACCAACGATGGTCCATAGTTGAGTTTACACGACTTTCATTCTCTGGGTCTAGCTTTCACAACATAATTATAATAAAATATCTGGTTTTACAATACCTTTATCAGTTCCAAAAGTTTCCAAAAGTTTTTGGAACTGATAAAGGTATTGTAAAACCAGATATTTTATATATTACAGTTCCGGGGCTACAACAATGAATTTTAATAATTATAATAATGCAAATATTTTTTAAATTAATATTCTTTAACTTATTTGCAACAATTTAAGGGGAAAGAGTAATTAATCATATAACAGTCAATTATAATAGCATTAATAATCTAACGGTAATTAATTAATCTATATTCAAATACCAGTATCCTCTCTAACTCCAAAAAAAAAATAACTACTTATGATGCCTTAACAGATTAACAGAATCATATTATACTGTGTAGTATCAAAAATGTTTGAAGTATTGCGACCATTGCAACTGTCGGCTACTCTTTCACCACTTGAAAACTCTCTGTATCAACAATCACAGATAGCTCAGTGGTAAGGTAAGAGGCTCATAAGTCGAAGGACTCGGGTTCGAGACCCATCTGAACCAAAAAATTTTGTTCCAGCTTTTTTTCAAAATTTGTTTTATGAACTATTTAATCAATTTACTCAACTAATAATTATGCTTTTCGTACTAAATCTTTATTATTTTGTGTGAAATAATTTTGGTTGGGCCATTGTTGGACAAAGGTTGGCTGGAAAACGGTTTAAAGAGGTGACATTTCTACCGTTGGCCAACTGTGTGGCTCCACAATTTACCAACGTTGGCCCAACCATCTGTGCTACATGGGTAAAGTTCAGCTAGCTGAAAAGGTATTCAAATGAAATATCAGTGTTATGTGACACTCTTTTATTTACAGAGGACGGAGTTTGCACAGTGTTTGGCGACCCACACTACAAGACGTTTGACGGAAAGTTCTTCAGCTTCCAAGGATCTTGCAAGTATCAACTCGTCGCAGACTGCAGTAAGGAGAAGAGTTTTAACATCCGAGTGACAAACGATGCGAGAAATACTAAAACATCGTCGTGGACCAAAACTGTATCTCTTAAGGTGACTTAACGATTGCAACTTTTTGTTTTGTAAAATCTTTCTTTTCATATTAAATTTATTGTTTAGGTAGCCGAGTGGTTAGGGCTCGCCTTCAAATATGAAAATTGCTGGTTGGTTATAAGAGAAATCAACTCTTGACCCAGATGCCATTTGCCTTTGTGATAGCAATTAATGACACTATAAAACATTTTTGTCAACTGTGGGATGGTTTAATTGAGCGTATTCTTTTTTCTGGAACACAGTACTTTTACTCTGCTTTGTGAACGTTAATCCTAATTGATTAAAATGTTTTGGCTCTATTTTGGTACCGTATTAGATACAAAAACAAGTGCACAACTGTGTCATACATTAACACAAAGGCAAAACGCATGTGCCGCCCATTATTTTTGTATAATTCCATGTAGAACAATTTATTGTGTTTAATTAGTGATGTAAAATACCCAGGTATTTAAAACTCAGGGTAAATACCCTGGGTATTTACCCGGGTAAATACCCAAAATCCATAAATACCCGGGTATTTTGGGTATTTATGAAATCGATTGAAATTCATTTTTATCCACCCCTAAATATGTTATGGTTATCATTACATGATTAATTAGGATAGTCTATAACACCTTTTACAGTAACTTGAAGCTTTGCTAGTACCTTTTATTTAAAGATTTAGGCCCTAGCACTTTTTTTGATGAAATCAAGACAACACCTCATCAGAGAAATAGTGAACCTTAACCTACTTCTTCTGTTATTAAATTATGATAGTTAAAAATTGTATTTTGTAAAATGGCTTGGAAGGCTAGACAGACCCAAGGCCTGATTGATGTAGGCAGAATGGCAGAATACTGAAAGTACAGTAGACTCCCTCTTATCCGGACTCCTCGGGACAGAGGCTAGTCCAGATAACGGTTTTTCTGGTTAACCCGACGTCCCCAAAAACTTGTTAAAACGGAAACCGTGTACCGGTACTGTCATACTCGACTTTAATTTAGGAGAGCATTGTATTTAGATACGTAATCACTGGTCTCAAATCTTTCCCACGAGAACAGTCGTTTCAGTACCGCTCACTTCTTGCCAATCTAGTCAGGTTAAACCAATGGGCTGATAAAAATTGTCCGGTTAAAAGGTGTCCGGATAAGAGGGAGTCTACATTAAACTTTTCTGTGTTACCGCTTAGTTGGGAACAATAATATATTTGGATAAACCTACTAAAAAATGTATCTCCTGTTTTTTGGTCTAACTTTGATATATTTTTGAAAGATTTATTGTGCTATAGATTCAAACTTTTTGTATCACAAGTTTATGAAATTAGTTTTATTTTTATTTTGATACCAACAAAAGATCTAGAACAAAAATATTATTAAATCCTGCCATACTACAGTTTGAATTTTAATTATTTTCTATCATAGAAATTAAAAAATCATTAGTAGTCAGGACCAGTGCAACCATGCGACCAGGGTATTTATGCCGATTATGCTTTATGCTCAGACCTGGGTATTTATGGTGATCATACCGAGAAGTAAAATGCTAGTAGTGACCATATGAAATTTTGTTTAACACATTTTATTATCATTTTGCTATCTTTACAAGGTAATAATTGCAAAAAAACATCTCAATCTTCTCTAACTTTAATACAAATTATAAATACCCAGTTTTTGGGTATTTACCCGGGCCTGGGGTAAATACCCAGGTAAATACCCAATTTATATTTACCTACCCACTGGGTATTTACCCGGCCCACATCACTATGTTTAATCATTATTATTTATTATATGTGAAATGATTTATTGACAGGTCGGAGGTATTAAAGTGAACCTCGGTGAGAGACAGAGGGTGAAGATAAATGGGGTGAAAGTGACGATCCCGTACAGAATGTCCAGTGGCCAAGTGACCGTGAGAAGAGAAGATGAAACGTTACACGTTCACACACATCTGGGGGTGAAGGTGAGGCTCCTTAATTACATACTTACTTAATTCTTGCTCTTCACTGCCTCTGTCCTTAGACTGGGGGTTCGTCAGGGTAGTTTTGGGCCAATCCACTTCAGGTTCGGTTATAATTGTTATGCCCGAAACTTCTTATTTTTGTAGTCTAGCCGAACACCTACCAACTACAATTTGATACATTTCTGTCACAAGTTAACAAGATTTTTTTTAACCACTCATAGAGAAGTAATAGCCCAGTCAATAAAGACACAAAAACAACCAACGTCGGAACAAATTAGTGACAAGCAAAACTATATACCACTGGATAGTACATATAGAGATGTACATTTTCCCAAAAGTCCCCTAAAATCCCCCCGGTGCTTTCCCCCCCACCCCCCCTCAAAGTCAGGAATTGCAAGGTTTTACTAAATCACGCTTAAGTCCAGTATGGTTTATCCGATTGTAACCATTTATAGCTCGTTATATTCCTAAATAAATTGTCTAAAATAAGTTCCTTTACACTTTTGCGTTAAATCCAATACTTTCTTCAAAATTTAATGATAAACTCAAAAAATAAGCAAATCTTTAAGTTGATATTTCAGTTTTTCTGCCGTAGTTTTTTAAATAGTAGAAAAAATGGAAAACGCCTTCTCCAAAGGTTGTAAAGAATGTCTTTCTGAACATTTTCATATAAATAAGTATAGGATTGTGATATAAATATGGGCAGGGGAACGGTAAAACGAGACGAGAGTCTGGGCCTCGACGACGCAGCGCAGCCGTCGTGCCGCGCGCCGCCTTATAACCGCGAGTGAAGTTATCCACCCTGGGTAAGGTACAGTACAGAATGAGTTTGTTATGCAAAATCAATTATCTATTAATGAGGTTTGAACTAATACTGTCAGAGACTACACAGTAGACTTTAGTGTTATACCTATTATTTATTTATTTATCTAATTTCTTATAATCTTTAATGAAACTTTAAATATCGCCCTAGTTTCAAATAATTACAAATGCCAGTATGCCTGTAATTAATTATATGAACTCTTATTAAATTATAGTTTAAGATAATGGATAGAGAATATTGTTCCAACAATCACACGTTGCGAGGTTCCAGACGGAAGGCCTAGAGACTCAGTGAGGGTGTGGGGCTACTGACACTTACCCCATTTATGACGTGTCAATCAAGTTCGGTGGCTCGCTTTTAGCACCTAAAACAGCTGTTGAAGTTCTGTGTCTCGTCAGTCTTAGGTGGAGAGTTATTGTGAACGGTGCTGATAAAGTCTTGATTTGCTAAAAAGTTTACAACTTTAATGTGCGGTTTCAAGAAGTAATTCAGTGAAAGGCGTATGACAGTACAAGAAGTAGTACAGTGGCGTGATGTACAATTAATTTTGACAAGTGATTTAGTTTTTGGATATTCTAACTAGAAGGTTGGTTATATCCATTATAAGATTGGTTACTGAAACTAAAAGACTATTTGAGCTTCGAGTTAGCTGCAAGACCCCCTTCAATCCTTGATGACGTCTCCATTAGAAAAACGACCAAGTCTTCATTGATGAAAATCTTCGAGTGCGGCATTGATGATCATACAGATACAACTGATGTGACCTATGTTGTTGATGGAGGATTCTTAATCCATTATGTTAAATGGCCCGAAAATTCTACCTATGGAGGAATCATAAATAATTACTGTTACTATGTAATATCCAAATACGGAGAAAATGTAACAGTTGTGTTCGACGGCTATCCAGAACATTCAACGATTAAGCATGAAGAGCAACTTAGGAGGGCTTCTAGTAAAACGCCATGTGAAATCTTATTCGAAGACACTACAAGATGTTCAACTTTAAAAGAAAACTTCCTGGGAAACAGAAAGAATAAGAAAAGATTGTTGCTGGCGGTTTCAATGGAGATGCAAAGGCGCGGAATAACTACGCACACTGCCGAAGAAGACGCCGACTATGACATTGTTGATGTGGCTTTGCGAAAGTGCATCAACAACACAAAAGTCTTTGTTGTTGGCACAGACACATACCTACTTGTTATGCTAGTATCTCTGGCTCCCCCTGACAGTAAATTATTCTTTTGTAAACCAAAAGTTGGACAAAATGACCCAATCATTTATAATGTGGAGAAACTGGTGCATAATTTAAATGAAATCCGAAGCGACTTGTTATTTGCACACGCAATAAGTGGATGCGATACCACCTCATCTTTTTATGGTTTGGGCAAGTTAAAGGTGATTGAAAAGTTAAAGTCATCCGAAGAGACTATGAGTCAGGCCCTGGTGTTTAGTAACAGCGATGTTCCAAAGGAAGAGTTGTTAAATAACGGAGAAAAGTTTGTTCTTGGACTGTATGGAATGGATAGGTTCTCGAGCCTTAATGAAGCTCGATACTTCAAATTCAATCTGATGACGAAAAAAGCTAACTTAAGAACAAATTTTGATCTAGCCAGACTACCCCCGACAACAGAAGCTTGCCAGCAACATATACTGAGAGTGTACCTCCAAGTACAAAGATGGATGGGAAATAAGTTGGTGCCAACTGAATGGGGATGGAAACTGGAATCTGTAAAAGAAAATGGAGAAGAAAAAAAAGTTCTCAAGCCAGTAACCAGTGTGAAGCCACTTGCACCAAACGATATCCTACAAATGGTCTCGTGCTCGTGCAAACAAAATTGTGGGAACTATTGTGGATGCCGTAAGCTTGGCTTGAACTGTTCGTCAATGTGTGAGCATTGTAACGGTCTGAGTTGCCATAATACAGCAAGTATGGAGGAAGAACAAGACGAAGATGAACTATAATTAGGTAATACCTTATCATAAAAAACCTACTTAACAACAACAGCAAAGTAACAACGAAACTTACAACTAAAAAAAGATTGCCTCAACAAAACGAATGTAGATATTAAAGTCTCTAACAACTCTTATTATATTTATGTTATTAATTAAGAGTAATTAGGAATTCATAGCTACCGGTTTTTGCCAGTCCGGGACACGGCGGGTCCATAGGTGGTGGATAATGGAAATACCTTTAAAAGGGTTAGGAGCAAGACTTCCCCGAACCAAAACTGGCACAAAGAATATACTCATTATTAATAAGTTTTACTTTAAAATTAAATAATAAACTTACAATGAATTGCCTTCATCTTATGTATTTCTTAATAACAAGAAATAATACAAGTTTAGGTTTAAAGCCAACCAATCAATGTTATCTCTGACAGTATAAGTTCAAACCTCATTAATAGATAATTGATTTTGCATAACAAACTCATTCTGTACTGTACCTTACCCAGGGTGGATAACTTCACTCGCGGTTATAAGGCGGCGCGCGGCACGACGGCTGCGCTGCGTCGTCGAGGCCCAGACTCTCGTCTCGTTTTACCGTTCCCCTGCCCATATTTATATCACAATCCTATACTTATTTATATGAAAATGTTCAAAAAGACATTCTCTACAACCTTTGGAGAAGGCGTTTTTCATTTTTTCTACTATTTAAAAAACTACGGCAGAAAAACTGAAATATCGGCTTAAAGATTTGCTTATTTTTAGAGTTTATCATTAAATTTTGAAGAAAATATTGGATTTAACGCAAAAGTGTAAAGGAACTTATTTTAGACAATTTATTTAGGAGTATAACGAGCTATAAATGATTACAATCGGATAAACCATACTGGACTTAAGCGTGATTTAGTAAAACCTTGCAATTCCTGACTTTGAGGGGTGGTGGGGGGGGAAGCACCGGGGGGATTTTAGGGGACTTTTGGGAAAATGTACATCTCTGAGTGTACTATCCAGTGGTATATAGTTTTGCTTGTCACTAATTTGTTCCGACATAAAACCTTTATTGACTGGGCTATAAGGTACAGAAGATAAACCTTTATGGGCTTAGCTCTGGTATGTTGTGCCAGGAGTATACATGTGACGAGCAAAGAAGAAACGGCTAGCACTGTGTGGAAATCCTTATCCCACTGGGGACAGGGTCTTCCCCCACCATAAGCGTTGTAGTAATGAGGGCTCTGGGGTTGTGTTAGACTTTAACACTTGTGTAACACTAACACAAGGACACAAGAACACATTTTTCATTATTTTGAGAATTAATAGGCAATATTTTTCTCTACAGCTCTTTTGGATAAACCAAAGCTAATCGTCTCATTTGTATTTTCTGCAGGTGGTGTGGGACGGAATGAGTTTCTTGGAAGTCTCCGTCCCGGCTAAGTACAAAGGCAAGCTGTGTGGTCTCTGCGGAAACTTCAACTCAATGTCTCGAGACGACCTGATGACAAGGCGAGGCAGAGTAAGTGTTCGGAAGAAATCTTTTGTTTTTATTGTAAAATATATTATATTTTAGGTTATGTTCTATGTATTTAATTTATAACAACTTCTGTCCTTTGCAGGTTGTACTTGACCCAGACAAGTTCGGTGCGTCTTGGAGAGTTGGCGGCAAACGAGCCTGCATGCGCAATAATGAGCCACCCACAAGAGCTATCCAGTGTAGCCAACATCTTCCACAGCGAAGGTACCAACACAGCAAAACAAAAACTTAGATTGTGTCAATTAGGATGGAGTGTAGGGAAAGTTATGGGATAGCGACAGAAAACTCCCCCCCCCCCTTCACTCTTCTCTTTCTTAATATGTATATATTAAAATTAAATGAGATCTTTGATGAATCTACATAATAACAAAATGGTGGTATGGTTCTAATGTCGGGTCACCAATCTAAATTATTCAATCTATATACTGTATTTCCAAATACTTAAATCAACAATTCTTCTATTTCAGTTTAACTACTACAATGAAAATACCGACAAACTTAATTTTTTAGTCTGGAATTGTTTTCCACATTTTGCTTCAGGCTAAGAGGTCACATTATCGCTTGGATAAAATCCGTTGGTGTTTGGTGGAATTTAAACCCAGAACCTCGGGGACCAAAATCCTGCACTCAAAGTATCACTAGACCAGCTTGCTACCCACCTAAACGCTTAATAAACTCTTTTAAATATTTCCACCATCATTTTTGTAAAATGTGTAGTACCTATCAAGCTTTGGATAACATAGTTAATTGGCTTCAGTGCAGTGGTGGATCTAGAACAGTCACATGGGGGGGGGGGGCTAACCAGGGGGTACCCCCCCCCCCCGAAAAATTTGTGTAGACTCAGTCTCCAAAATGGCAGTTTTATACAATTTCTTTGTCAAAAGTGACAAATTACTTTACACAATGTGTATGCACTACTGTATTACATGCAGAAAAAATAATGTACATGTATGCCCGAGGGGGAGGGCAGTCGCCTCTCCTCTGGATCCGCCACTGCTTCAGTGCAGCCAACACAGCAAAAAAAAAAAAATCCTTTTCCAAGTATATGCCTTTTAAAACTTTGCTAAACAACTAATTCTTAAATTTCAGTACAGTAATAAATAATAATAACACCTTATAAACTCTTCAAAATGTTATAAAGTGCACCTATTACCTTTTCATCAAAGGTATCAACACAAATACTCACGTACAGTAGTCTTATAATGCTGTCATCTTTAAAATATTTAAACACAAGCTGCTATACCCGTGCTTTGCAACGGGAAGAACACGTGACCTAGAGAGCTATTAAAGTGGTGCTGATGTGTGTTTTAAAATACATACAGCAACTCTATGATATAGTTTGAAAATATAAACTGATTTAAAAGCGTAAACTTACTTACTTTCAAACCCCTACTTTTGATGTTATAGATCCCTAAGAATATGACAACATACCTTAGTGCAGCAATAGCATCAATTATTGCTTCATATTGATGCTTTATGAATGACATGTTTTATCATTTTCTTCAATTGTATTCAAGCTTCTTCAAATGTAAATTAGTATATAAATACAAAAATGAAATTTTGAGCAATACTTTACAAAACATACAACCTCACTTTAAAACCAAACATAACCCTCCTCAATATACATAAAGCGTCACAAACATCTTATTCGAGTAAATAAACAAACACCAGTTCATTGTACTGACCAGCTGTTTCATCAACTAAATTAAATTAAATCATGTAAACATTGGAAGCATGCCAGGCGCAGCCCTTTGTGAATCAGCCTGTGGGGCAGAGCCCTTAGGAAATTCGTCCATATCAATACTTTTCAGCAAATCTACACACTCTAAAGGATTCATAGTCAATGCTGTAAGCTTCATTTTGATGTGCCATATGCCTATATTTTTATTTGGTAAATGGCCTTAACCGTTTACATAAAATTTAGTTGTATCACTTTAATAATATAATAGATGATTTTTTTATTGTTTATATGTAATATGAGTATTGTATGTTGTTTATTAAGTAATATATTGTAAATTTACATGCTTAAAGAAAGTATGTTTAGCTGCTTGTTATGTCGTTCTAATGAAATTCTTTTTTCAGGTATCGGGACCGGCTTTGCAAGCCTTTGAGGACAGAGGTTTTTGCTCCGTGCCACAAGAGGCTGAATTACGCAATGTATTTCAAGTGAGTATAAATATAACTAAGCAGGGCCGTCCCTAGGGTTGGCGGCGCCCAGAGCAAACGTGGTCGTGGCGCCCCCTCCCTCCCAGCAGTAATAGTTGCATTCGCAAATTTTAATACTATGTTAATACAAATAGCCGCTGCGCGGCGCCCCCTCAGCCACAGCGCTCGGGGCAGCTTGACCCGGTTGCCCCCCCCCCCCTTCGGTCGGCCCTGTAACTAAGTGTGCAGTTTGAAATTATCAAATTTATGTCACATTTAGTTGTAATATTTTGTGAATATCGTTTTAAAGAGTTGGTTAGCAGAAAACCTATACCCGACAGGAATATTCACCTAGGAAGCAGAGACTACTTTCCACCGACGAAGGTCACGACTCATTTTGTGTTTCAAGTGTTCAAATTTTGTATAGTACGTGTTTTCGCCAGTATTGATGTTTTGACTGTCTGCTCGAGAATTTTTTCTTCTCATGTTTTCTATGGTAAATATATTCATCCCTTTAGCCGCGTTAACATGAGTCCAGTAGAGCAGGCAGGTTACTTGCCTCTAATGTATTTCAAGTTACATGGGGCAAATATCCTGCCCGCCTACTGGCTTCGTATAGACATAAACGCGGCTTTTGAGATAAAACACTTCACTGCTGTGTACCGTATCCAATTTACAAATAACAAAAAATACTATCTCGTTGCGATGTATCCGATTTTAGTATCAGCCAAATATAAAGTCAGTATGAACAATAAGTCGTCCAATCAGTTTCAGTGATTCACATCAGTGTACTCTGTACTACTATGTAAATATTTTAATTTTCATCATTTTAAAACAAAGTAAATTAAATGAGCACTTAGGATAAAATACAGTATATGATATAATTTGTTGTTTGGTTAAGAAGAGCAAATCACTCTAACCTGTTGGCAATCCTGAAAATCAGCTGTCCTTGGTCAAAGATTAGATTCATGGTAAAGTCATTAGTTCAGTGCTAGTTCATGTCTGGGCCCCATAGCAAACACACACTCGTTGTCATAACCAGTTTCAAGTGTGCTGTGGCTATCAATTTGACAACTCGAATCCGAGCCCTGGGGTACCAGTCCGGTGCTATATTTGCAAGTCTACTGACTAAAGTAAGACTGTTCTTATTTATATTAGAAGTAATTAGTTACAAGAAGTAATGTACTTAGAAGGGAAGAATTTGATTTAATTAAATGTCATGTATATTACTATGAAGATCATTGATTGCTCACCATTTAACCAATTGTAGTATAGCCTATGAATATCTGAAGAAGAAAATAATATTTAATATTAAAAAAGGCTAGACAAGGCAAAATTAAATAGTAAAGTACTGTTTGTTCCAAAATTGGCATATAATTGGGCAAAGTGATACATGGGGAAGCAACACTACTGCTATCTTAAACATCTTATAAATTACCCTATATCATCAAGTGTTTGAACAAAAAGTGCAAACTATGCAATTAATCATTTTACCATCAAATGCAAGCACTTGGTTCAAGGCTTGCGGTACATAAAAGTGCGCAACTCTGCTAACTTGTCAACTTGCCAAATTTAAAAAAATTAAATATTTATTTAACAAGCAAACTTCAAGCTAAATACAAATCAGACTGTCAATATTATATGAAGTGATTATATTTCAAGCATAATAATCACAGGGAAATTAAATGGTGAATTAAATTTAATAATAATTTTCCGTAATGGAAAAATTCAATATTAATTATTTGAGTAAGGACGAACTCAAATATGAGATTTTGTGTAGAAATCAAGAATCTACACATGATAATGTAGAAGCATTAAGAAAGGAACTACGGTGTATTTTAAGTACATTGCCAGATATATCTAACTTAACTGGCAAACTTAGTGTAAATGAAGAATTTAACACAGTACAGGCCAAAATAGACTTACTAGGGTTATTGATTGAACAAGCTGAAGAAAATCCTACTAACCTACAAATAGCTAAGATAAAGGCTAAGTTAAGTCATATACAGTTAAGAATCACTAACCTAAAACAATGTCAAGTCATCCCAAGTTTAGCAAACACACTAGGGCAGCTAGAATCAAAGATAAGAGATCTGTCAGAGAAATTTTTAATAGTTAAAAATAAAATATCTGATCAGGATTTAGAAATCTATCAAGAAAATCTAAATAAATCATTATTAGAAGAAGAGGAAAAATAAATGCTAAATCAGATTTAGATGTAAATGTAATGACAACATCCAATGAAAGCTCCACTCCCATTAAACAAAATCAAGTAATAGTTAATGAAGCTAAAACTACACTTGAAGCTAACCCAAACTTTTACCCAATGATTCCAGTAAATGTGCAAGACCCATCAATTCAAGTAGCTATGTTAAACTCACAGCAAGCTCCAAACTCAAATCCAAATCTAAGTATTTTCAATAAATTATCTAACCCAGCTGAAGCTTATTTACATAATATAACAATCACAAATGGACTTGACATAAACCCATTACTCGCATTTTTAAGAAATTTGGTTAAAATAAGATCTGAAACCAATTTAACAGACTTCCAACTTTATGAAATTTTGCCAAGCTATTCGCAACCTCCCCTCAGTACAAAAATATTACAAGGGAAAATGCAGGGAATAACTTTGGATAAAGTACATGAAGATATTGTCAACACATTCATTCCAATAACATTGAGAGAAAAACTTAAGCAAGAATTAATATACAGACCCCAATACCCAAATGAACCGTTATCTTTGTACATAAATGAGGTCAAGATAAGCAATCAGATCCTTAAAACTAAGTTATCTGAACCTGAGCTTATTTGTTTCATCAAGAACGGATTGAGACCAGAAATTAGGAATCAAATAATTTTTGAAAGTAATCCTAAAACATTCAGTGACCTAGAGCAATTATGTATAAGCCTCAACAACATTGGATACAATGATTACTTACGGAATAACATGTTTCCTAACCAAACTCAAGTCCATAACTTCACACCTCAGCAATATTGTCAACCCACCAGCAATAACTTGAGACCTAATTTCACACCTCAGTGTAATCAGCATTCTAAACCTCACCAAAATCAAGCTAGACCATATTATTCAAGCTCTAATCATGATGCTAGGATTAAAACATGTTTTAATTGCAATAGAACAGGTCATATTGCTAGCCAATGTTATAGGAAGAAAAAAAACTCATAAATGAGGGAGTATTGAGTAATACTAACTTAAATACTTGTATTCCCGATGACACCAAGATATCTAATACTGAAAATCAATCACCTGAATATAAAACTGAGTTGAGAAAAATAATAAAGGATTGGAATAAATTCAGGAATGTAAAACATAACCGAGTGAAAGTATATGTAAATAATAAGCTACCTTGTATTCAAGTCAATGTACATAAAAATTTAATTGTAAATACCTTATTGGATACTGGAGCCAGCCAAAACTTCATAACACATGACCTATATAAGCAACTTAATAAATTAAAGGTTGTAAAGTCATTAACAAATTGGAAAGGTACCATGTTCGCTGCTAACAATAGCGAAATAAACGTGTTGGGTAAATGTAAATTTAAAATCAAGATTGGTTCATTTACTTGGAGGGAGGAATTTTTGGTCATGAAACATGACAACTATGACATGATTTTAGGCATGCCATTTATGTCAGACAAAGGATTGATAATTGATTTAGAGAATAATGTTTGCTACTTCAAATATAAGCCTGGAAAAATAATAAAGCTTAACAATTCATTAAATGAAGAAAATGAATCATTAAATGAAATGTTAATTGGTTGTTCTGACATGAGACAGGAAGTTAACAAATTAATAAATAAGTATCAAAATGTATTCACAGATAAAATTGGTTCTGCATTAAATCTAGAGGTGAAACTTGAAGTTACAGATAACATTCCAGTAAGTTCCAGACCTTACTACTTAAGTCCACCAAACTTACAAAAAATGAAAACCATAGTTGACGATTTATTAGCTCAAGATATCATTGAAGTATCGACTAGTCCATATTCATCACCCGCATTCCTCACCAAAAAGGATCGATTAGTTATAAACTATACAGAACTAAATAAGAAACTCGTAAAAATGGATTACCCGATAGGTGACCTAAATAACCTATACCAACATCTACAAGGAGCCCGATATTTTTCTGTAATAGACCTGAACAAAGCATTTTTACAATGCCCTTTAACAAAGGACAGCCGCCATTTAACAGCTTTTTGCACATCATTTGGTAAATACCAATATAAGCGAGTCAGCTTTGGACTTCAAGTAGGTAGCAGCGTATTATCGAGTTATCTTGATGGTTTATTTCACGACATAAACTTTGTATATTTAATAAAATTCCTGGATGACATTGTAATATATAGCAAGGACAAAGAAGATCATCTAAAGCATTTAAAGGAAGTAATAAACCGCTTATCTCAAAACAACCTTACCGTAAGTGTAGAAAAAGCCAAATTTTTCTGCAGGGAGATAAATTTTCTTGGCCATCGCATAAAAGATAACACTATATGCATTGATCCCGAGCGCACCGTGGCCATTAAAGATTTTCCCGTACCGAACACAGTAAAACAGGTACCTACGCAGATTCGTAGGTATGTGCGGATACTGGAGCCGATATATCCCGAGATACTCAGATATATGCGCGCCATTGCATCGACTAAAGAGAAAGGGTGTTAAATTTAAATGGGATAATGAATGTCAGGAAGCATTTGAAAAACTAAAGCAACACATAAGTAACCCACCGTTATTGCAACTGGCAGATTTTAACAAACCATTTGTACTACAAACGGATGCTTCTAGCATAGGTGCTGGTGCTGTACTCTTACAAGCCAATGACTTAGAAGATTTATTACCGATAGGATATTTTTCCCGAAAATTTACAGATGCAGAATTAAAATATTCCATCTATGAGAAGGAAGCCTTAAGCGCTATATATGCCATGGAACATTTTCACCAATATTTGGAAGTGAGAAAATTTAAACTGATTACTGACAATCAAGCTTTAAGTTATGTCCTAAACACAAAACGCAAGATTGGACGTTTAGCTCGTTGGGTAGAGCGATTAATAAATCTAGATTACAGTGTTGAATTTCGTCATGGTTCCGAAAATATACTGGCGGATTGTTTATCAAGATTATATGCGGAAACTGCTAATGAAGATGATCAAATAACTTCGGAGTCACATCAAGAAATAAATATGATATTAAATAAGTGCAAAACTGATAAGAAGAATGCAACCCAAAATCACACTAGAACAAAGTCTATGAATGAAGGAGATAACAGATCACCGAAGTCATCCATTGAAGATAAACATTTTTGCAATTTAGTAGATGAAATTCCCTTAGCATTCACACAATTGGAATACCAACAGAATAATGACGCGGACTGTACTAAGATAAAAGCTAGTATAACAAAAGGAGAACATAGTAACTGTTATTTCATGAAGAACAATATTTTAATGTACAAAAATAGCAAAGATAAACCACGGATCTACTTGCCTGAAAAGTTATTTAATCTAATATTTACATTTTACCACAACACCATTTTTGGAGCTCACTTTGGAATTGCAAGAACTACTGCCAGAATAAATGAATATTTTTACCATCCTCAGTTAAATAACTTCATAGCACAAAAAGTAAAAGGCTGTAACATTTGCATGATGTCAAAAAGTACACAAAGAAAATATGAGGGAAAATTAATTTCAATTACTGCTGAAAATGCTATGGATACAATATACATGGATGTATTAGGACCTCTAGTACGTTCCAAAAAAGGGAACAAATATATATTAGCATTACACGATGCATTCACGAGGTATACTTGGCTATATACATTGAAGGAATGCAATTCAAAATCCATTATTGAAAAATTGAAATGGACATTTGCCAACTTTTCTATACCAAAAACAATTGTTACAGATAATGCTAGTTATTTCGTATCAAACCAATTTAAGTCATATTTATTTAAACATTTTATCAGCCAAAGATGTACTCCTGCATACAAAAGTGGTGGAAACAAAACGGAACGCATTTTTAGAGACCTAGGAGCCGTATTAAGAAGTTTTTATCATGATAAACAAACTGAATGGGATACAGAGCTGGATTTAATTCAGATTAGTCTCAACACAGCTGTAAACTCTTCAACAAAATCCAGTAGCTTCAAACTGATGTTTAACCACGAGCCTAGCTGCGCCTTGACTAACCTATGGGACATCAAGAGCCTAATTTCATCGGAATTAACCTTAGAAGAAAGAAAAGAAAATCTGAAGAAAGCTATAATGAATGCAAGAAAAAGTATCCAATTCAACCGAAACCGTCAGAGATTCTCCGCTTCAAGAACTAAACATCCATTTAAGCTAAATTGTTTAGTATATGTCAGAACGCATTATTTAAGTAGCAAAGTTAACAAGTTTTGTAAGAAACTAGCCCCCAGATACATAGGAATTTTTCGCATAATACATTGGTTAACTGATGTGACATGTTTGATACAACGAACAAGTGACCCACTTGATGTTAGGAAGGTACATATAATAGATTTGAAATTATATGAACCAGGTTAATTGAAACGAGTCTAAGAATTGTACTTTGTATTATAATCGCAGTACTAGAAAATGTAAATAAGAAAAAAGGTTAAGATGCAAAACATTACTGGGAATACTTGGAATTTTAACTTGTTAAGTCATGTAGGGAAAAGTTAACATGAGATAACATGATGAGATTCAGAGATTGAGAAGGGAATTAATTATTTTATGTATGTTATTTAGGGATGATTTAAGGTCGTAATACAATAATTGTGTAACGTAACGATTTGGATTAGAGTTTACAACGCGAAAGATTTCGGATATTAAAAGGTTAAATCACAAGAGGGATGCATGACTTGAGTTAATGTGTTGTATGCTAGATGATGAATGTGATGCGAAAGTTGTATATTTGTGTATAAATGTAGAGAGAGAATGAGAATTAGTATTAGGAGACATTAATTGCTGTACATAACACTTCACTACACCGAACGATTGTATATAAATGAATTTTAAACACTAAAAACACACGATTTAACACAAACACAACACGACACACGCACACGTTAAACAGATACATAATGAAAAAGAAGAATGTGTAGCTAGGAATAAAACAATATCTGAAATCACGCGACCAGTATTGCCAACGCAACTTGTTTCCTTGTTTGAGAAATACAGAAATGTTGTATTTAAATAAATGTATTACGATTTTAAACTCACAGACATGGTTTGGTTTATATTATAATAATGAATTTTCTTGTAAATAGAGGTCGTTTAGTAATTTGAAGGGCAAAATGTATCAGTTATGAAACTCATATCGGTGAAATGGATGCAATTAAATAAGTTGTATGTAAAACATGAGGTTGGTATTACAGTAATAACGCAATGACCCGCCGCCTGGTCAGTGCTGCGCTCAGACAGCAAAAGATGTGTACTATTGCAGGTTATCAGCTGTGCAGTACGTTGTCTTAGCATTGTTGATAGAAAGGCACGAATTCAAATGATAAATGAAAAGAAGGAAATATTATTTTAAGTTATAATAGTTCATAAGTGAAAGTGTTTAGTTTTAAAATAGCTGAAAATTGAGAAGCGTGGGGATATTTTGTACTACTATGTAAATATTTTAATTTTCATCATTTTAAAACAAAGTAAATTAAATGAGCACTTAGGATAAAATACAGTATATGATATAATTTGTTGTTTGGTTAAGAAGAGCAAATCACTCTAACCTGTTGGCTATCCTGCAAATCAGCTGTTATCATCCTTGGTCAAAGATTAGATTCATGGTAAAGTCATTAGTTCAGTGCTAGTTCATGTCTGGGCCCCATAGCAAACACACACTCGTTGTCATAACCAGTTTCAAGTGTGCTGTGGCTATCAATTTGACAACTCGAATCCGAGCCCTGGGGTACCAGTCCGGTGCTATATTTGCAAGTCTACTGACTAAAGTAAGACTGTTCTTATTTATATTAGAAGTAATTAGTTACAAGAAGTAATGTACTTAGAAGGGAAGAATTTGATTTAATTAAATGTCATGTATATTACTATGAAGATCATTGATTGCTCACCATTTAACCAATTGTAGTATAGCCTATGAATATCTGAAGAAGAAAATAATATTTAATATTAAAAAAGGCTAGACAAGGCAAAATTAAATAGTAAAGTACTGTTTGTTCCAAAATTGGCATATAATTGGGCAAAGTGATACATGGGGAAGCAACACTACTGCTATCTTAAACATCTTATAAATTACCCTATATCATCAAGTGTTTGAACAAAAAGTGCAAACTATGCAATTAATCATTTTACCATCAAATGCAAGCACTTGGTTCAAGGCTTGCGGTACAACTCCCGAACTCCGTTGGTAACTCAATTCAACTACTATTTTGATTCAAAGGCAAGCGACAACTCCATAGGTATAGTATGTCTAGTTTAATAGTCAAAGCTTCAAAAGACAGTCGCTTTTATGTATTTCTGAAGAAATAATAACATTTTTTATTCGCAGGTCCTGCTTGCTAGACATGTGTGAATGTCCTGGCCGCAAGTGCTATTGTGAGTCGTTCACAGCGTATGCTCACGAGTGCGCGAGGCTTGGTGTCAACCTACCGTCGTGGCGTGAGGACACTGGCTGTCACGCGCTCTACTGAGTGCTGCTCCTCTCGCGCTCGAGCGCAATACCCACTCACTAGTCAACTCCTCTCCCCCTACCCCCACCCCTCACCTAGCGCCAGTTAATTGTGAGTATAAATAATTTAATATAGAGCTAGGTTGATTTTTTTGGTTTCTTCATTAGTTGCATTTTTATGTAAGATTATTTAGTGGTTAGAGCTAGGTTTACCTAACCACAGAAGCAGAGTGCAGATAAGCGATTTTCCGCTTGTCTGCTCTGCTTCTAGGAAAACGATACCATTAAAATTACCAAGAACAAGAGGAGAGCAGACTCCGCTCGTAGTAAACCCCAGCTTTAATGAAAGTAGTAAAAACCCCTTAAAATTATTGGAATATATTGCGTATCGAACTTATCCTCCAGCACCAAGTCCAATAATTTATAGTAATCTGTGCTTGTTCAGATGACAGACAAATATAAATTACTAGAAATCGCTAGCATAAGATAAAAGTTTTGTTTACGTCAATGAACAAAAGTAATATGTGGTATTTGATGAATACTTTAATATTGTTCATGATAAATTTATGTCTGAAAATATTTTTTTTCTTTAGTTGATCATAAGTTTTGTGACATTTGTATCTGAACGTGTCTTTAGATGTTTGTACATCCACCTTACGTGGGAAGGAACCTAGAAAAATGTCCAGTTGTCAGACTTGGAGCCAGTCCCTTGTCAGATTTTTTTTCTGAGCAGGACGCTAGCCTCTAGCTTTGGATAGAATAATTTCTTATCCATATCATTGTTGTTGTTGCAGATACCAGTGAGATCGGCGCATTGTTGTTGTTGTTAGTCGTTGTCGTGTCAGTATTCCCGCTTTGCCGGATGTGGAGCACAATTTCGACCAACCGTTGACATTCTGCTCCGGCATCCTTGTAGTTAGTGACTGGATCACGTGTTGTATATATTTATACAGTTGCAAACTAAGTGTATTTTATTTATGTTAAATAAAAATACAGCGAGAGGCCGAAAAACATTTGAGAGAAGCTGAGAGCAATGTAGGAATTTAACTTGTCAACAATGTATATAACTTTGAAAGAAATTGTAAAAAGTGATGTGACAAAAATACATAAAAAATCATTAAAATTTAAAATTGGAAAGAAATACTTTTACCTTTTTAAAACACTGTTAAGGAATCTATCAACCAATGATGTTACTTAATAAAAAGTAAAATTATAAACTCTTGAACCATTTTATTGTTATTGAGTTGGAATTAGTATTGTTCCGCCCTAAAAAATCTTTACACAATATCAAAATGAATTCACGAAGCTTCAAATTTAAACAAAATGTTTTTCGGCTTTACACAAAATGTTTAATATATTAAATTGTTTATTTGATAAGTATTAAAGTAGATATAGCAAGTTATATACCATTAAGCCTAGTTTAATGATTATTTTTATAATTAGAGTAGGATTATAGGACCTAAATGTTTACCTTTTGATTCACTGTTTACAATTATCTACCAAAGACAAATGTAATCGTTCATTCACTCATAAAAACTCATCGTTCAATAATCATCAATTTTTTCCTTTGTTTATGTTGAAGTTTATTTGTAGAGTGTCAATGTATGTTTGATTGAACAATTTTACTTTCTTGATTGCTATATTTTTTTTAAGGTTGGCAGCCTCTTGGAACAAGAAACTTTGGATTGTGCTTGACTAGAGGTCTATGGTCTAAGTCTAGAGGACTAGAACACTATTAATTATTTATTTTGAAAAATCTCTTAGAGGTTGAAAAATGTTTTATATGAGATATACGATAACAATAATATGTTATAATATATTTTTAATATCGTTGAGTGGAAAATGACAAATGTTATTGCTTGGAATGATTTATAATTACTTTTATACTAAAGTATTAAACGTTGAAAGAATGTATACAAAAGAAAAATGAACAAACAAGGTATCTTCGACAAGAACCTCTTTTTAAAAATCCTTGCATTTATTTATTTGATAGGAATTTATTGTTTTGGCTGGTCCAAATTTAATGTAAGTTTTTTTTACGTTGTGTTTGATGAACAAACCTATGTGAACATAAGAAGCATACTGAAATTAATAGAATTATGAAATTAAATGTAATAACTTAGGTTATGAAATATTTCTATAGCTCTGTTAACTTTTTTAACTGTGCTGTTATTCCCCTCTCTGAGGAGTATACTGTTAGGATGTACATTTTTACACGTCTTACTTTTCTCTTTATTTTTCTGTTTACTATTACAATACTTCCCTTATACTACTGAAAACTCTACTATATAGTGCAATACTTGATCGATAATAAGAAAAATGTTCTTCTTTCCATAATTGCCATCAATTTAATTAAAATAAGCACAAACTGAAAAAAAAAACAGCCAAAATATTCATTATTAATATATTATAAAGCTACAAATTCTTTGAATATTTAATATCGGGCTGATGATTTTTAATTTGTAATTTTACAAAATAATACGCAGGTTAAATAAAATTTATAAAATTACAAAGTATAGAGCTTTACTTCATTGTGCTGTTTATATGTTAAGTTATTTAGATGTGTTGTATTAAGCGTTGAACCTATTAAGAATCAATTTAAAAATGTTATGTGAACTTTTTGTCTTATGATAAACTCCTTAATGCCTTAAAAGGTGATTAAATAAATTGATGAATTTTCTAAATGTTTATCCACATTAAAGCATACGAGAAAGGGCATGTAGTTAGTATACAGTAAAATTTCTTAACTTTAGAATATGTTTGTCTTTAAGAAACTTCAATTTTGGATAAGCATGGATTTTATCCTCTTGAAATATTTCTTACTATTAAATCTACTAGGTTTTACTTCCTTAACCCACAAAAATTTCTTCAATTTTTTAAAGACCTTTTAGATAAAAATTAGAAAGAATTTTAATAATTTTAAAATTGTAATGATTTTCTCCAATCAAAAGGAGACAGTTGTAAAGATCTCATGATATCCATCACCATGTCTGTAAATAGCCATAATTTCAAGCAATGTGTTCCTAATGTATTTTACTATATTAATATATTTTAGGTAGTATTTTTATTTGGTTTGTAACTATTGTACGAACTGGAAATATCTCTATAGTGTAATTATTTTTGTACATAGCCTAGTGAAAATTATTTAAGAAGAGGTGCAATTGTATGTAACTTGTTCGATGTAATTTGATTCATTCCTATAAAATATTAAATAAATTCTTCAACTCTATTCTCAAGAGAAATGTGATCTTATGAGGTATTTGTACTGTAATTGATAATGTTTCCTTCTTCAACTCCTTAACATTATATTACAACTAGTTCTTTGTTAATTTTTGATGATGGTGGGTTTTTGCCTTTGGGTTTGATGATTATTAATGGGGACCTGGGTGTGTATTTTTACCCAAACATGAGTGAAGGATGAGTGTAGAATGGTGTGTGATGACATTTGTAGCTTCGTTACTGACTAAGATAAGCGGTTTCAGTAGCCGGGATCATTTATTAACAGGGACAACTGGGTCCAGACTCGAACCATCAAAAAGCTACTGACTTTTCTCAGGATTGACCCGGCGACCTTTTGATTGTTAGACGAGCACTATAACAACTGAGCTACCCATCCATGTGAATAGTGTTTGAGATATTACTGCGGACATTTTACATAAAGATTGGTGAAAAAAAACTTTCAATACACTACATGGAAATGATCGCATTGCCACACCTGTTAACAATACTCAAATTAACTAATTTACGCTTTATTCATTTGTGCACTATTCCTGCACGCTAAATCAGCTGATTTCACTTGTTCATGTTTCTATAAGACACTTAATATCTGGTAAGCAAATAACATAACCTACTGTAGGGCCACGAGAGTCTGCAGTTGAAGGAGGAGCCTATGTATCACATGACTTCCAAGTAGCCAATGAGGCCATTGTTGCCAAATCTAATAATAGATTAATATATGTTTAGTTTACATACATTATCTTTTCATTCATATATCAATCTATACTCTGGTTATTTCTGTCATATCTTATTTACTTTAGTTTGACCAATTACGTTAGTTGTTTAGTTTGACAAATGTGTTTCAACGGTGGAAATTTATAACAGCTGAGTTGAAAATCTTGTTTGTGTAATTTAAATAATGTTGCCACGGCCCCGTGAGAGCAGGCGATGTGGCAACGACACGCTAATCCGATCTTGGTATTGGCTGCCTACAACTGCAGACTCTCGTGGCCAGTACAACGAATGACATTTTATATACGGCTAAAAAGTTAATCTCTGTTTTATTATAAGTCCATTATGGTGCTAGGAAAAATCTGTGAGTATTACGATCAAAAACAGTCATCACTGCTCTCAAAATGTATGTCCACACTCAGCTTAAGGTTTGTGTGGCCATCTACAGTTCTTGGGCATCAATGACGTAATTTGCGCTCTTAATACACAAATAGCTATTTAAAAACATTTCAGGGTCTGGAATGATCCCGTCCTCAAGTGGGAAAGTATAACGAACAACGATGGTTATTTGGTGCAGTTGGTTTCTGCTATAGAAAGATACCTTACTTTTAAAATACAGTACCTTATAAAACGTAGTGAAATAAAATGTTAGATGGATTAGAAAGGGTAATAAAATAACTCAAGTAATTATAGCTTCATACAGTGAAAATGCATTTGTACTTTTAAAGTAATGGATATATTTACATCAATAGACTAAACAATAGACTTAACACTAATAGAAATCTTCTTCAGCCACTTTATTCGAATCCTGTTGGTTTTTTATTTGGTCTTGATTTTTGTACATGTCTGCAATCTGTGAAAGGAAAAGTAGTAATTATTTAATTAACTAAGGAAACTCATGGTTTTAAGCTATTAAACGCCATGAGAAATTTCATTTGTGATTTATTAGTAACTTCAACTACAATATAAAGGGTTTTCTTCACTATAAAATATTAAATTTGAATTTTATTATGTTTTTTTTTGTTTTAACTTTAACTTTGCTGATAACCTAACCTGACCTAAAATAACCTTACCGTAAACATGTCTGTACATAACAACATTCCTAAGTGAAAAACTCATAGTGGTAGTGAATTAACGGAAAAGGTCCGCAAGTTTTGTCCGAATGTAAAGATAATTTATACCTGTTGCGCAGATGTCGCTTCTTCCGCTGATTTGTCCTCTCGCACTCTCATAAACCGAGGGAATCTCAGCGAAATGCCTTTGTCTGGATCGACCTGTCAGCAAATAGTCTTGAATAGCATCATTTTTTTATAAAAAAATAGGGCTATAATCTAACTTGGCCAAGAATAAAGGATGTAACATAGATGGTAATTTTTAAGACTTTTTTGTGGGGATAGCATACTTATCTGAATGGGAAAGATGAACTGGCAACACAAACACAAAACTTTACACTACACAAAATATTAGAATTTGTTACTGCCGCTGACAGCATTTTCAACCAGGAGCGTTTTGAGTAGGGAAGAGAGAGTTCATTATGACTATTTTCAGCAAAAGGCCAGCATACTTCACTGATAAAAATACAAAGGATCTGAAATAAGAAGGCAGCTGGTAGGTTAGGTAAGTTCAAATACCTTCCTGGATCAAATACGCACCTAGGTGGCGTCCCCATCACAATCTTAATAATAAATGTGAAAGTTTGGATGTTTGTGAGTATGTCTCGTTTCGATTATTCCAATAGAGCTGAATATACCACAGATGAACATAAGACTATTCTTATTTTGAAACACTGCTAGGACTCTGCCACACGGGCTTCCAAAGTTGCCGTGTTATTCTTATGATACGAGTAAATTGGTGTCAACCAGCTGTTTGTCAATATTTTTGTTGGTTTATTTACAATAATTGGGTTTGACCATTAACTTTGGATACCAAAGTACACATCCCAACCCAGCTGAATAAAACACAGTTAAATGAGCCACTCACTGAATAAACTAAAATCGTAAATTCTACCTACTTTGATTTTTGTTACTGAAATAGTTGATGTGACATAAAAGATGCTAAAGCTGATGTTAAGTCAGTTTACGCAAGTTTCGTAGGCGTATTGAACTATAATTTACATCAGCATATTCTGTCATTCTGTCGGTGGTTCAATTGTACAGCAATATTTTTAAAACTGGTGACAACATTAACATGGGGTTGGAACGTCTAGCTCTATCAATATTTGGTATTTTTACTTAGACCAGTTCCTGATGTCACTTACGATGCCGATAGCAGCGTGATGTACAGGAGACAAAGACAAGTCCGCACACTTGACCTCCCAAACTTGCGCTGCGTCGAACCAGTGATCGGGCTCGTGGCCGGAGTCGTAGCGATAGTACGGTCGAGGACTCGGAATAATGGATGTCTTCAATGTTTCGGAATGTTTTTGTAGAGCCTCGTCACTGAAGCCGGTACCAATCTGTGAAAAAATGTTCTTTTGAATGTCTCACTCAAATAGGCTTAGTAATAGGCTTAGTAAATAGGCCTTAGGCCAGCCTACTAATTATTGTATTCTTTAAATTAAATATCCTTGTTTAGCAATTACTGTATTGTGTACCTGATTGTTTTAATACCACAAACATTGATAAGCTGATGTTCATTATTCTAGATACAGTACAACTCCGGGAATTTTAAAGAAAAGTCCTTATTTTCGGTACTAAATGAACTTTTAATTAATAATAAATGAAATCAGAACATTTTTACAGTTTACAATGCTCATAGTACAAGTGTTCTGTACATGTTATTAACCTTTCAGAGGGCGCATTGGTTTTTAAAACGGGAGAGGGCGCACCCGGAGGTTACTTCCGGGTCAATAAAAACCAACATTTATGAAGTAAAATTTGTATTTTAGTACACAAATTAAGTTTTATTTTTAATTTTAAACATAAAAAATATGTTTAGTGAACTCTTAATTGTACAATAATTTAATTTAGATTTTATAAATATAAAATGAAACTATTATTCTATCAAATTTTCTAACATAAAAGTATATGAAGAAATCTTTTACAAGAATATATTCAAGAAGTTAATTTAAATTTTACCACAATGTCCTATAATGTGGTTTTAATTGATAACACTCTCAATACCCAATGTTTTAAGTAATTTAAGATAATGGGTATCTTAATACTAAATGGCTCTGTACATACGTCGTTCGTGAATCTCCCTTTCAGCATGGCTAAGAGAGTAAGAGTGTTGCAATTCGAAATTTATCTTCTTCTGCCATCTTGTAAAAACTATATATTTACTAAATGATGACATGAATCGTAAAAAAATAATTATTTACAGTAATAGTTTACACGCAATAATGAACTAAACTAGAGGTCGCATCACGGAAGTTGCCTTCAGGCTGTACGAGAATCGGCAGAGCGCACACGGAAGTTACTTCCAGCCTCTTACAAAACTGAACAAAACTAACAAATATAAAATAGTAGGGGTGAGTTTTGACCTTCACTCTATTCTAGGAATGAGGTGCGTAAGGTACAGTGACACTCATACTGCCGACACCACTCAAAATAATATAATCGCGAAAAATAAAACATCTCTAGAGGTTACTTCCGTGATGCGACCTCTGGAAGGTTAAGTAAATAGTGTCCCATCAAAGTCCAAAATTACACACTGGCTAAATGTGTTTAATAACAATTCTTTGGTATTTTGCAAAACTTATTACTGTAGCTTTACGTTTTTAAAATTGATGAAGTAAGCGATTCGGATAATCGGCGATTCGGTTAATTGGAATTCTACTGTAATTAATTTTTCAAGATTTGAGCTATTTCAGCTAATAGAAAATTGATAAGGCAAATCAAATCCAAGTTCATTTTAACTTATTTTAAGTGATTTAAAAAATTGAAATAAGTTTACTAATGATTCTTTTCCACTAAAATGCTTAATATGTTTAGCAATAATTAATAATTGAAACAAATTTAAACTCTTATTGGACCTTTGTCATTAAATTGACTAACCCCTGTAAGTTGTATGCAACACTAAAAAAAAAAAAAAAAACCAATGGTAGTGAATTAACAGAAAACAGAGTATAATAGAGAGAGAGTATAATACTACTCAGACTAGCATAATCATATTTAAAAATTTTCAAAAACACTAACAAATGTGAGGATGATATAGCTCCACCAGACTGCAGGATTTCCTGAGCGCTCCTCGAGCTCTGAGCTTTCAATTAAATTAAAATAATTAACTAGGCAAAACCGTAGAACATTGTATCGCACCTTGCATTTCATCAGCTCCTTCTGAGCACTCCGGAGAA